TTATTTTCGCATCTAATTCACTTAAATGTAGTGAGGAACAAAAGTCATGCTTAAGAAGTTCACTAAAGTTTCTCCAAAGTGACGCTGTTCTAACTTACTCACCTAGTGTATATTCTGTAGTTATTACTGATGCTCCAGCAGTGGGTATTGATGCAGTTTTGGAGCAGGAAGGCAGACCAGTTATCTGTGTTTCACTCAAACTTACGGTTACTAAACAACGTTATTCACAAACTCAGCGAGAAGCGTTTTCTGTGTTTAGGGCTGTTAAGGGACTTAATAGGTATGTATTCAGAAAGAAGTCACCATTGTTACCGATCATTAAGCTTTAAAGTATATTTATCATCCTGAAAATTTTCCAGCACATTCCTCAGCTGCCATGGTTGAATGATGGAGTATTGATTTGGGTGCCTATAACTATACAGTTCTGCACAGCAGCGCCAAACAAAGTCAACTACATTACTCATCAGTCATCACAAGATGGGCCTGTTAATACTTCAGACCGTTTGTTAGTGCAACCTTTACCGCTGAGACATCCTGATCTCATCAGAGAAACTCGTAGATACTTTGAATGTATACTCAGTGTTTACGGAAAGTTTGGAATGCTAATCTGAAACGTAGATTTCCTGTCTATTTTTCAAAACGTGATGAGTTATCTACCACTCATGATGGTATTTTGTGTATAAATGGCCGTGTTATTATTCCTCCTTCATTAAATAAATCTGTCCTTCATAAAGGACTTTTAGGTGTCGAAAAAATGAAGTCCTTGACAGGACTCACATGTTGATAACCGAAGATAAACGCAGACATGGCCAGTATCGTCCGAGGCCTTGCAGAGAACTCATGCAGATTATTGTGGTCCATTTCGTGAAAAATGCTATGCAATTGTAGTAAATGGTTCTTTTTCTAAGTGGTCTGAAGTTTTTTTTACTTCCCCAAATTTCGACTTTACAATCAAAGCATTAAAAAGGTGTTTAGTCGAGAAAGGGGTTCCCATGGTGTTAGTGACCGATAATGGCTCTCATTTTGCTGCAGATGCAGTCACTACCTGGTTGAATGGTATAAGGTGCAAACATCTGTTCACTGCTCACAGGCACCCTTGTTCTAATGGTCAGGCAGAAACATTTGTCACGACATTGAAAACTTTATTGATTCTGATGGTGTTTCAACATCTCATGAACTCGGGAAGTGAGTAGTTACATTTCCACTGCAATACAGAAATACTAAACATGCTGTGACAAGAGAGACTCCATCAAATCCATTAAAATGAAGAATTCTTCATTGTAATGTGAGGTGTTTGGAGTCTGTAGAAGTTACATATTGTCGTGAAAATTATCTTCAATCAGCCATGATACAAATGCACGGTCACTGACAAGTGGACTGGTCGGTGTAGACTACCTGGTTGTGATCCGCGAGACAATAGCATCCGATAGTTGGAGACCCTGAATGACATGGCTCAAAATCGTTTGCGTTGGCGCAGGTGCATCCATTCTTTGTGTTCTCCCATATTCTGATCTTCTAAATTCTTCATTTCCCTTTCTTATTGCTCCGAATTCATTTCACTGGACTCCGTGAATAGCACCTTCAATCCCTAATCTTTTGGATTACTGCCTATACTTTACTACCTCTACCACTATGGGGTTTGAATCGAAAATTGTATCTGTGTGCTAATGTGGTATGGCAACATGAGCTTATGTACGTACGTAAGAAGTTGTACGTTGTTGCTAACTGACTGAAGGGGATTGTGATGAAGAATGTCGAGAAACCTGTGGTGCGAATTCTAAATATTAATGGCTTAGTAACACACAACCGACATGTTGACCAAATACAATACCAGGAACCAAATAAGTCTGTTTCAAGTTCAGTTATTAATTCTAATACTAATGAGTACATTCTAGATAATACACAGTCTACATTCAATACACTGTCGGACAGTCTCAGGCTGAAATTATGGAGAAGCACAATTGATTACAGACACTTCGACTTCAATTAAATCTGTGGTGTCATAGTAAGACAAAACTCCACCGTGGCTTGACTATGAATGATTTAATCCCATCGGATGTGAGTAATATGCTGAAGTCAAACTATCCTGATTCTAAAAGTAGAAAACAGGCATGGTTTGTAGAAGCTCGAAGAATATATCTAACCAGATAATTCTAGGGAATTTCAGGTCAAAACACTGATTACAATGGTTAAGAGGACCAATGACATTGTTGAAACCCAACCATATAAATTCCTTAAGCTAGTCCTGAGGTCGAAGAAGCAACGTGATCTAGTTTTAGCGCTTGTGGTTCTAGAATTATGGTCTACTATGATAATAGTACTGCTCTCATAATAGACCTAATCCTAAAATTGTAGATTTGTTATGATGTAACTGCCTAATCTTTAAGATCACAGGTGGATGTCATGTCATTATCTACCCTGACTCATTCGTGTTGTGACAGTCATCAATATATGATGAAGAACATCTTTAGACTGAAGATAAAACAATAGATTTCATATGGATAAAAATAATGTGTCATAAGTAAGACCACTCCTTCTCCATCGTTGGGTTTTTCTCCGCGTTAAATTTCGAATATCTATATCCTCAGTTGTTTCGTGTTCAGCTTTGACGATTGTGTGGTTGGGAGCGAATGTCACTACAATCTTACCATAGAAGTCGGGGTTACTTAATATTGACTTATCGTATACTGAACGATGACCTTGGTATTAATATGTCTTATCTTTACATCCCGTCTAGGACATTCGAAGAAAATTCAAAAAGTGGAGTTTTGTTTCTCGCATCGAGTAACGAATTACTGAAAATCTCTACTGGAACATGTATTATCAGCACCTGCTGTTGATATATTCAAAACAAGATTGAACCTCGACAGTGTTACAAACTGCAATGTTTAATAAAGGTCGATAGACTTTCTATCCTTATTACTGAATACTGACAACTAAAGACCAAGGGACAGACTCAGTTTATCATTTAATACACCAGATCACATAAGGTTCACCACTAAAAGCGCCACGGACATTGAGGTTTTGAAAACAATTTTTGCAATACAATTTTGTAATCGATTACCCAAAACCGTTCAAACCAGAAGGAAAGAAAGAAAGAGTCCGAAGATATATCTGGAGAGTACGCGATATCCCAAAAAGTGTTTGATGTAAGCTGACCAGTAATTGTGCGAGACGCGTAACACAGCATAACCGATGGGGTCTGCTGAATGCTTGACACAGAACATTTAGCTAGGGTGTGTTTAGTAAAATTAATAAGGTCAGCACTAATGTCGAAGACTTAGAGAATTGCTTACGTTAACGGTTTATTTGTCTGTACGTGAGTGGAAGCAAACAGCGCCCATTACCATGAAGATATGTGGAAAGTAGAGTTCCTCAAGCAACATTACTAGGTCTTCTTTCTTTTTTACTTTATATGAATGGTCTAACAGGACTCGCAGAGTCATTTGTTGGACGTTTTACCGATGACATTGGAAAGTGGAGACCCGTAAACATGACTGATAAACAGGACTTCATCAGCCACCGGGATATTGTGATATGCCCTGACTAAGTCAATTTTAGTGAATATGTTCATGCCCTGTAAACCGTTGGTGAAATCTTGGATATGAGGTATTGGGTACCTATATGGTACGGTTTGACGGCTTAGGGCTCTGTAATCCCCGCACGGTCGCCAGTCACCTTCATTCTTCTTTGGGACCATATGCAAAGGGGATGCCCATTGACTATCAGAGGGACGGATAATACCCAATTGTAGCATATAATCAAACTCGGCCCTAGCGATTTTGAGCTTATCTGGTGCTAGTCCAATTTCGTGCCTTAAGGTAACCCTCGTGCTATTGATAGAAGAAACCAGAGAAGTAGTGAATAGGTCTTTATTTCGATCTTCGCGCAGTCACAGTGGAGCGTGGGATTCAGACAAACAAAGGCTCTTAACATTCAATATAAGATAATAGGGAATATAACGCTTATACAAAACAAGGAAGTGAATGAATACTTGAACAATACTATTTTGGCATATTCTTGGTTGTTTGGGGTCAACTCTTAACCAACCAACCTAAGCTGTTACAATGCCACAAGTTTTTGTAGTTTGACAACACATTAACCAGTAACAGCTTCTATAATTGAATCGTGCTCACCAAGTGAAATCAAAAGTCAGAAGCGAGAAGGTTGGGAGATATATTTGATATGTCACCGATATACCGAGAAACGGCTGATCTAAGCTGGTTAGCGACTGCAGGAGAAGTTGAACATGGCGTTCCCACTCGTGTTCTGGTGTGGATGCGTGACCGAGCATCTTCAGCTAGTGGAGTTCATCAAAACTAATGTGTTCAGCATCAAATGTCGAAGACTTACAGAGCTATTTATTTTGGGGATTTATTTACCGCCACAAGTTGAATCCAGTGGTTGAGTGGACAGATCGATACTCATTAGAACCAAGTTATGGAAAGTGTTTAATAGTGTACCCCAGTAGTTCCGACGATCTGCATAACTACATAGTGAATGAAAAGAGAGATTGATTCTCTAAATGCTACAAATCTCCAACTTAAGCGTAGATCACTAAACTCCAATCCTTACTTATGAAGTTCAAAACATGCCGATGAATGATCCTTTCTCACAAGAACTCGACAAGTGTTCGGAGTTCGACAAGGCCTCAGCTGGTAACATTTTTATAATCAAAGTATGCCAATCCAGTCAAGTCAGAAGCTCAAAGGTTCAAGGATATAGTTTACAAGCTATCGATATATTGAGAAGTGATTAACCTAAGCCGACTAGCGGTTGTAGATGTACATCACGGCGTTCCCGCGCGAGATCTGGTGCGGATGAGTGACCGAGGTGCTTTATTCGCCGTCACATCCAGCAACCTTGATTCAGATCTCAGAGATAATCAGTTCTTTATTTGTACCCAACAAGGTTTGAAAGTTTTGAATAATTGGTTCAAATGTTTGTCCAATTATCAAGGTCGCAATATGAATAGGGGGATTTGAGTGTAATCTGTATTCATGCTTTATGCTCGAAGCCTATGTACAAGTTTAGCCTGCGTTCTGAAAAACATGAATAAACGCGAAAGAAAGAATGCTAAAAAGGCTGCAGCTAAAGTTATATTGACTAAGAAACGACAAGAGAGGAAACGATTAGCGACTGACTTTGTGCATTACGAAAATTCTAGCATCAGTGACTACTACATTGATGGGATATTTAGAAAGGTTTGCAAATATTTCCGTATTCATCCTAATAGGTTTTCCCCTATCATTTCGTCTTCAAAGCTTATGCGAAGGACAGGTGGATTAATCGTAAGCTCCGTGATGTCCTGCAGTCTGAATTTAATAATAATTCTGATGAAGTAATCGTAAGGAATACCTTGTGTTACTGAAAAGAAGATTGTTAGGCACAGAAATGTGAATCAGGTGAAATCCTGGTAAATAATGCAAAAGTTGACCCTGACTATGTTATAAGTGACAGTGATCTCCTTTCTCAAAAGGTTCATCGCCATGAGTGTCCTGTATTAAGTATGTTTATGTTTTAGTTCACTTTGCCTCCAAGATCTTCCCATCGAGTTTGTACACGATTCAGACGATATTCTAGTGGTCAATAAACCTCCCTCAATACCTATTCATCCTTGTGGCCAGTACACACTTAACAGCATCACACACGTTTTGGCCAAGGATTATGGTCTTCGTCCTCTACGATTTACCCACCGCCTTGATAGGTATGTTCATTCACTATGGGTAACGGTTCACCTAACAAAAGTATGTGGAGGTGATTGTGCTTTAGATTTTACATAAACGTGACCCACATTTGCTTTGATAGGCTCGCGAGACTAGTTTATAAATATACCAGCCAGATCTGAGATTGCGAATCTCGGATTTTGGAGCACAATTTGTTCGTCCTTATGGCTAATTATATGTTAAAACGTGGTGAAAAGCCAAATCCTAATTCACAATCTTAACTTCTCTCAATCGCTCTCATTTGTTTAAGGCCTTATTTCGACCGCAGTAGATGTTTTACCCTCTTCTAGTACACTTTAGTATCGCTAAGGTTGTCTCTCCATCAGGCTTTAAGGCAGTAAATTCTCAATACTATTACTTGAATATCCAAGAGAGATCAAATGTTTAAGACATGAAGAAATAACCTGGTGTGGCACGACTCTTAGCCGTTCGCTTATGGTTGACGCTCTTATTTTTTGTATATGGAACTCCTAGAAGATTGACTACTTACACCTACAATCCATTAGCTTAGACATCTCCCACCTAATTCATTGTTGACTAGCTCTTCAAAACGACCATAGCTGTGGTATCAGCTCATGATGCTAGTAATTTTTAGCTTGATTTGAATATGAAAGAGCAGACTGAATAGCCTTCTTGCGTGAAAATACATTGGTTAAGCACTGATTCTCCAGATGTTCGTTTATAACTTGTTGCAGCGCTTATGTCAGTCGTTCAGTTTTAGTTCTTTGTGAGCTAGCTGGTTTACTGGGCAAAATTTTAGTGATTTCATGCTTGATAGTTCTTAATTTGTGTACTCATCATGTTTTTACTCAAGTTTTTCAGTGATTATTTCTCATATGTATAGATGAAGGATCAGTATGCTTTCACCTGTGCTTGTCTTTATAGAGGAAGCTTCATTTTCAGCATTCGTCCCAAGAAATAAATATTTTTTAGTCGTTAGTGGGGGACAATCAGTTGTCTTAAAAAAAACAGGTCACCTGGGCACCGAAAAGTAGAGACAAACGACTATATGCCTAAAGCATGACGAACTTCCTTATGTGGTAAATATCTATTAGAACAAGTGGTATATTTGTAAACCTTGACTTACAACATTCCTAAGGTTTTTTAACCAGTTTATAGATCGATATTAAGGTCGGGACAGGTGAAGCTCAGAGATCATAGTACTGCGAGCCTATTAAGTCGAGACCGTCAGTTTAATAATAACAACACAAGAGATAGTGACAATAAGACAATTTAAAATAGATATCAGATCCTATTCTGCATTTTTATAAAAATTGTCTGAGCCATGTTGGTAGATGCAGATTACTTGGTTGGGGTCCGCGTGACTATCGTAACCAATGGTTGGAGACTCTTGGTGACATGGCTCAGAATCGACCACAATGGCGTCGGTGTATACACTCTCTCTCACGGCCACGTGTATACAGCCTCTGCCAGGGAAGTCCTACTCATTGCCTTCTCGTGGCAGGGGTGTTGTTTACGAAAATGAGAGGACGAAAAGCGAATGTCCGGCGCTTTAACCGGATCCCAAACCGGTGGTGCACGTGGGCTCCAGTATCCTGCGGGAACAAATGGCGCATGAACCAATCGCTGGTCACCGGCTACCATAGGAATGCATCTGCTCACGATGTTCCACTGCCTTGTGGGTCAAACCTTCAGGTCAAAGGCTCGGGGTGTGGCTCCCTAAGATAACCACCTGCTTCGATCTGGGCAGTATCACAGCCCACACACACACAAATGGTGTGGCGCATATATATTTGGTGCCCTCTTGTACCGATATTTATGTGTTGAAATAATAATAATAATTCCCTTAAACTAAGAGGTACTTTCTACGAACTAATTCTTTCTTCTTGTACTATATCCTTATTGCAATCTTTTATATATTACCACCTCTGAATTAACTACTTTTATGAATCCGGTGTCCATCTTGTTGTGTTAATGAGGTATGGCAACTTGGACCGATGCATATATGTGCCTGGTCCTGCGTTGTAGCTGACTGACTGACTGCTTTTGTCAAAATGTGGACACTTGCAAGCCCATTTTTTTCGTGCCGTTTCCAAAATCATCTTGTTACTATTTTTAATTTCTTGGTGAGTCTCTAACTTATAGTAATGTGACTTGTTGCGACTTAGATTCGTAGTCACTGTAAAATGTTGTCTGTGGAAAACCCGTAATTATGTCTTATGCTCAATCATGTAGGGGGTAGCTGACTAGAATTCAAAAGAAATTTGTCAAATTGCTCAAGTTATTGCTTAGTAATTAAATTTTTACGAAATTCCAAATACTTTCATATTATTTCACTTCCGATGTTCTACGAACTTTATTTTATTATTTATGTTTCTGTGTTGCATGAAGTTTAACGGTGATTTTAATTTGTCCTAGCATTTAACACATGGTATTTACACTTCATTTTCGCTTATGGTTTTAAAAAAATGATAGAATGACTTCTGGATTACTTTTAATCGCCAAGAACTACGACACATCTGTACGTTTGCAATCACAAATTAGTAGTAAGGAGGTTGCAAAAGTACGTCTTGTTTATCATATTTATCATTTCTTTCTATATTTAACTTAACGCATCCATATAGATAGTATCATTTCTTGATTTGAAGTTGGATTACAAGCTTGATTTTGATATTTTCACTAATTCGATTCAGTATTCTCATGCTTCAGCATTTTTGACTGTAACTCGGCATCTACGATGTGGCTGTTCAGTAATATTGACCTATAACTGAAGAGACTATATGATGTATATTTATCATTATATTGCATAAATTACAGTTCTTCCCATCAGTCTTCAAAACGAAATAATGAACTTTATAACTCAGTATATGTCCATGCCTTCGTCTATGATCTACTCTTTATTTGGAAAAATCATCGATATTATTAATTCACTAACTAGCTTTTCAATCCATAACCCATAAATTTCCATCTCAACATTTGATATCAACACTCACCTGATGATATTCACACCGGGTAGTAAATTAGAGTTTTCTAGGTTTCACCAGACTGACTGGTTAAAACTCCATATAAACATTTCAGTGCTATAAAATTTAAAGTCTGATAGTCGTGCATGAAGTGCTCAGTTATTGACACCTAGTTCAAAATATTCCAATGGGACATTTCCCACTAAGCTACTAAGTGCTGTATGTTGAATGAGGCAAAGTAATGAGATCAAAGTTATTTATAACACAATTTACAGTAAAGTCACTCTGGCATAAAAAAATTTATAAAAATAGTACAAGACTTGTTGTTTCCACTTTTTCGAAGAATTAGGTATAAGGATTTAAACGGATTCTAATAATAACCGTATGCTTAACAACTCGGTTATTTGAGTAGTTGCAGTCAATCAACTGTTTATGAATAGTAATTCTGACCGATTTCCTCTTGTCCCTGTAAAACCAAGCTAGAGTATGTGCTCGTATTTGTGGTAGAGGCGAACACTGGCTCTGGTCAATGTACTTTCCTCCATTCGGAGTAGGTATAATAATAGACCCATGTACAGGCTGTCAGACAGGGAAGCTTATCCTTTAGGGATACAGAAAATAGTCTCCTGTTTTTTGCACGGAACATCCTCTTAATTACTACAGACAAAGAGTTCTTAAGTAAACCGGAAGTCTAGTGGATTCCGAATTCCATATTCCTATACAGGTGTCTTAGAGACGGAATTTCTGTAGTCCTCTGTTCGAGTTGTTCTCATTTATCCACGAAAAGGTTAAGATAGTTCTCACTTCGTTTTATCTAATAAGTCAACATTGGATAAAATAAGATAACTATGGTGTTTCAATGCCTTTGTTTTGTTGTAAATTGTATTATACATAACTGTATGAATGTACCGCTTTAGTAAATGACATCGATAAACATTTTTCCCTAATTTCCCTTATTTTCTGTAATAATGTTATAAATATCCTCTTTTAATAATTGTCAGACGTCTTGTTGGTTAAGACTTGGCTCCTAATTTAATCTATCTTGACATTTCAGTAAGGGATATCAAGTGCATTAGTTAGGTGTACCTATCCCCTATCTTCAACGTAGCAAGACTAGTCTGTTAGTTCACATGTCTGTTTCTGAACATGTTACTTTTGCTCAGTAAGCTAATAGTTTACATCATTGTGTACTTAGTCAATAAAGTGTGTAGTGTAAGTTAATCTAAAACATTTTGGAGTTTCCATGGTTTTGGTGTTATTTTTGTACACGACCTTATACATGTTTCAACCCTAACCCATTATCGAGGCCGAGAAATTTGGAAATATTACAATTAAAGCGTGAATATCACCATGCAGTTAACACTAGATTTTACTATGAAATTTCATCTACAAATTATTCCGAACTAAGACGTATTCTTAATTGGCTATGCAATAAAAATAGCCTGTAATAACGATGTATTAAAGCTACTTCCTTGTTTTGTTTTCACTTTATAAGTATTATATATGTCATGTCGAAGGCTGTTTCCCAACCGAACCAATCAATCAATGTACTGGCTTTGAGATAAACAATGGAGTAGTGGTTTGTAGCCAACCTGTCGGGCCTATCAGTCGTAGAATGGGTGTACATGGCGTTGTACCAGAATCAGCTGGTGGGAAGTTCGCTCGGACACATTTCTTACGCTTAAACTACAATCCTGTCACGAATACAAGTCTAGTAATATGTCGTCTATTCACTGGGCGTACACATCAAATCCGAGTACATGTGCAGTACTTAGGTAATACAATACATCATACAACTTGTATCCGTACATTTTTGGTACAGTTATAAATCTTTGTAAATGTACGCAATGTTGAATTATTTCTTAAGAATAGTCTTTACTTAGAAAGAGCAACGAAAACACAATAACCTTGTTATTAACCACCTTCTAATCAATTTTGGAAACTTCAGATGGTATTACTCGTAGTCGGTGGCATTGACCCACTCATTATTACTTTAATTCCATAACTATCATCTTAATTTCATTCGTCTTTTTTAAATTTTCTATTCCTTTTGGTTTTTTACTGTTGTTTGCGCTGAGTTAACTCTGAAGATTATAATCGACACTACGTACTATATTGTCAGCCGAACCGGTGAACTATTTCACGAGTTTACACAATCTAGACCTTAATGCTTATCGGTTGTCGCGCCCCTTCTAACCCAGTGGCCAATCAGAAGATGACCGAAGGCAGACTAACTGTTGTCTCCGATTCGATCATGACAAAAACCTATACAATAATATGCTGAAAATGCCTAACCACATAACACGCCAAACAACAAATTACACTTTAAACACAATCATACCATAAGTGGTAGAGGGTCGAAACAAGCAGTACATAATTAACTAACATTAATTACAGAAAAGTAAAGGATATTAGTGACAATCCGCTGAAAGTTTACAGTTAGGGCAATATAGAAATGCAGTAATAAAGTTATCGATTAATTATACAGTAACGGTGTAAATATTAATAGTCCGGAAAATATGGCTGAAGGTCCCAACTTCTCCAGTATTCTTCAGTGCCCTATATCTGACTCCAATTAGATCGTATGAATGATTATTGTCAAAACATACATCCTAGCTATATATAATTATTGACTTAACTCGCGTCAGTAAGTAACGGAATTAAAATGAGTCAAATACAAGAAAGGATTTCGAATACGTATATTTTGTACTATTGATTCAGGTAGACGATCAAAGGAACGAAGCGAAGCGAAATGATGCGTTGTGGAAAAAACATGTGAGCCAAATCAATTTAACCAAGCGTTAATCAATATTTATAGTCACACAAAAATAAGCTACAGACGTGTGATGAGTAGGATAAAAAGTTTACATACACATATGCTCATATAAAAGCAGTCAAGGTTGATAAGCGAATAATTGACAATTTCTAAATGTAACTCAAGAAGAATGGATAAATTGGCCTATCCAGAAGCTAGAATAAGTTGTGTGGGCATAACATAGTAACCGACACTACAATTCGTTCTGTGTTAATGTCTTGTTTGGGTAAAAATGACTTCGTTTCTGCTTGTAATGACCGTTATCCCCGTGTTATTTCTGTTTAGGTTATCCGATTGTTGATGATCCCCTATACAATTCAGCTGATTGGGGTGAATTAAAAGGGAAAGGTGCTAATTATGGAATGACTCTGGAAGAAGTTGTCCAAAGATTGAGTGATTCTCGTAACAGGGGAAAGTACAGAATCCAAGAGGTAGGACTCTTCTTGAATTTCATATTATGCTAGTTTTTCGTGATTTCATTGCTACCACTTGTTCTGAATTGTGGTTTCTCTATCGTTTTTGAAACTTTCTCTTTACAAACAAATCCGCGTAATTTATTCATGAATGGTTGCACTTAAAATTCTTTGGACACGGTAACATTTAAATACTACTTAGAATAACAGTAATCGGAACCAGTTACTTCACTAGTTTGAACGTAATCTAGATTTCTTTACTCTTCAAAGCAAACATTTCATCTAATTCATTCAAAGTATATATGTTTAAGCGTCCAGGTAAGTAGGTACTCAGTGCAAAACTTTCAAACTGGATTATTAAAATGTTTTCAGTAATCCTTTAAAGTTTGGATTCCACATCTGTTCCAAATTCAATTCGAATTGCCCTTCAGTTGCAAGCTGGTTTGCTCTCTGCCACTGTAGATTGTTTTTGATAGTATCCGGCCGATGGATAAGGTGTATCTTGCGTGGACAATTGTTTTTAAGTACCTATACTTCTTTAGTGATAGCTACGATAGTTCTCAGAGTAAATTGCCGACTGACTGACTCAGAGTAACTTGCTTGGTACCAAAACCCAAAATCCAACTATGCTTAATCACAATACAAAGACTGGTCATGAAGGTTTATTTGACCTCAAACAAATTGAAATTATTCATGAATACACATGTCTATACTGATTTTACTCACACTTAATGATTGATTCGTAATTATCACACGGGAGAAATACACAGAATTACTTCAAAAACCCAAGCTACAAGTTTCACACTGAATTGACTCAAAGAATATCATATCTGTTATATGCACCTCAGCTTTGCTCCTGTTTTACAATATATATTTTGTTTAGATTATTCCGATCCCTAATTCCATCGACATAGGGTTAAAATTGCATTATTTAAACAGTCGCAGATAAAAATAAGAATATCATATGGATGTGTTTATATGATCAAGACTATCTCAACAACTTGAATCTAGAAAGAAAATTTTTTCATCAGTCCTACATATCCTGTCGAGTTAATTGATGCAACAGGCTTTTGTTTATAGTAGTACACCATGATGCAATGAAAAATTATTATTTGTTTTTTCTCCCTATGAACTCTTCATGTACACATGCAACTTTGTCAAACCTACTTATACGTGATCAATCAGTTGGCATCAATAAGCCATACATAAACATTGTAATTCGAAGCTGAATATATAAACATGTGCTTCGTAAATTGATCATACTATTTGTTTGCTTATTTGTCTTAGTCTAAAACTAAATGGCTCAGTAAAAATCACTAGTTTGTTGTAATGTAGCTCATTCACCAAGTACAAATTTGTGTACTCGGCTTGTAGTCAAACCTTATGTGTAAGTGGTACCCATACTCAAAAAAGCGGAGAGGGACTTGACCCACTGTAACCTAATGGTTGAAATCCTAACTCCTTAATCACTAAGCCAATGGCCCACCAGAGTACACAACTAACTACTTATATTTGAGATTGTCAATTATCACTACGTTGTCATTTATGTTGCATCGTATCACTCTTAAAGGTGATTTATCTTTGGTTTTTTCTTCAGACCGATGAAAAGTTGGAAAGTTCTCTTGATCCAAATGTATTAGAGCGTCTGCAATTGTGTAAAGATCCCTTATGCCCTGATTGCAAGCTTACTTTCAAGGATCCAGAAATGAATAACTTAATACTACGACTGCACGCTTATCGTTATAGTGGATCTGATTGGTGCTATTCTGCACCTTTACCCAGTTGGGTTATAAATGAGAATGTACCAGACTTGCATGGTGCAATAGAAGAGGCAATGAAACAGTTATAAATATTTGTGGGTATATTAGTTTTTCTCCATGTTTGTTTAGTTTGTTCTCTATCATTTGAAATATTCATGCTTACCATATATCAGTCAGTCAGTTACAGCGTAGGACCAGGCACATATATGTTCATCGGTCCAAGTTGCCACACCTCATTAGCACAACAAGATAAACACCAAATTCTTAGTAGTTACTTTAATGGTAATAATATATAAAAGAAAGATTGCATATCAGGACATAGCACAGGACGAAAGAATTAGTTCGTAGAAAGGAAAATATAAAGTAATTTTAATCTCATAGTTTAAGGAAAGACAGAGTGTATAGACCTGAACTATGTCACCCAGAGTCTCCAACCATTGATTACGATAGCTACGCGGACTCCAAACAAGAATTCTGCATCTACTAACATGGCTAAGACTAGAAGTTAGTGACTTCAAGCACTGATGCCAAATTTTAGTTTGGCCACCCCTAACTTTCTTCCAACCATCCCCAACACTCGCCAGCATTGTGCGTCGTAATCGGTGTTCAGGCATACGTAACACGTGTCCCAACCATCTTAGCCAGTGAAGATTTACAACCTCATCAACAGATATGCCATTATTCCCTAATACCCTGCGTCTAACCTCACTATTACTTATCCGGTGATCCCAGCAGATGAGAGCAATATTTCTAAGGTATCTGTGGTAAAATAATAGTAGCTTACGAGTATCTTCTACTCTTAATGGCCACGTTTCCCAACCGTAATATAGAACATAGCGAACTATTGCACAGTACACTCGTCCCTTAATTGAGATACGGATATCTCGCCTTCGCCATAGGTGACGTACGTTGGCAAAAGCCAAACGAGCTTTTCGAATTCGTGCTGAGATTTCGTCAGACATCAACCCATTAGGGCTGATCAGACTTCCAAGATAAGTGTTATGTTTCTCTCTTACGGCTATGATCCAGCTATTCCTATTGCTTAGTATTCTTGGACGCTAAATCACTCGACAAGTCCCCAAATCAGAACACGGTTGAACAGGAAAGAGATTATATTCTACATAACAAGGTTAGATGGAGGCAAGAAGCACATTAGGGAAAACGTTAGTATATTTATATTACTTACATGAGAAGATTCTAGAGTATTCTCCAAGTATCGACTAGTGCTGATTGAATGAGAATTAGCCAATCAGCGTGCACCAAAGCAACCGTGCATTGAGCATGCTTTAATCCAGTCTATGTCCCGCTAACAATAAGTGACGTTGTCGACGTGTTCGATAAGTAGAATATGAATGTGAATAGTTTAGTTTTTTAACAATGATACGATAAAAATATACGTATAGTATTGGTCCATAAATGGATCCCCAAAGTTACCATTCATTTTCTCATCGGGATATAACAATAATACAGACCCTTTTTCTTATCTTATTTTACTATTCTACACATTCGGTTTCCTCACTTTCCCTTTATCAGAGTAATTGATTTTGTTCCCTCAGTTGACTTTCTGTTTACTAAGTTTGGTTGCTTGAATTAATAGGTAATTATGATAGTTTCCGAAAATGAAATGCAATTTTCAGTGTATTGATCAAATTCGATTATGTTTCTTACGACAATGAGGATATTGTAAAAGTTGAAACTGGTTTTCCGAATTAATATGGATTATAATCTTTCCATATGATTGCTGAGTACCTAGATTCATATATATATACGTCCCATCTATCGTAAGCTTCCGCTCCAATTATTAACTCGTGTCGTACGTCTTAGTATTATTATATTTTTTGTGAGTCTGTTATTTACAGCCCTTTTTAGCTTGTCCATGTCTAGTTGTTATTTCCAATATTATGGTGTGATCTGGGCCACTATGTTTGCATACAAACCAAATCTATTTGAAATATTTAGCACAGACTGGCTTCTGCACTCAAGCATAGAGCATAGTGGGGAACTAGAGAATCCTGAACAAAAAGAAACGTAGCTGTTGATTCAAAGTTAATAGTACTGGTCGGACTTGTAACTGAACTACTCAGAGACACTTAGCCATAGAGTAAATAGTCATGTGATTTTTATCAGCAGTCTCCCGGACGTAATATTCATTTTATTTATTACCTACAAAATGTCCAACTAATTTATTGTTAAGATATAAATGCAAAATAAGAATTTTAGTAGTTGATTTGTTTACTTCCTATTTCAGCTTCTAAAATTGTTTTGTTTGATGTAGCACTTCACGAATTACATACAGAAGATATGCTATTGTTACGAATTTAGCGTTCATTGAAACATAACGGATTCAGTTTTGAGACACCTCATAATAAAAAATATCAAAATACGCTACTACGTACCTTCGTAAGACCTAACCGAATGAATCCTTATAACAAACATATTTCCGTGGCCTACTCACGATTTGTTAAAACTATGCTAAACAGACTCTATTCACTGACCTCAAATGTGAGCTCGTGACTAGCCAGTCAAAATGTAGCCTTTGTGAGAGTCCTAAAATGCAAAACGTTGGTAGGATTATACAGCATTAGAAGCTGATTAATGGTTGTATTGAGGGTAAATATCGATAAATCAAGCAGGAAGTCCTAGTACTATAAGCTGCCATTAAAATAAATCATTAACCCTAACACTCCTTAATATAATTCCTAGCACCTAATGCTCGTAATCTTTGCACTCCTAACACAGAAATACTGATTCCAGTTTATTCTACAAGGAAATCATCATCTAGTATTTTCAAAGAATGAATTATAGCCAAAAACATAGGTCTCGACAACGAGCTACTCGTAATAGCATGTAAAATTCGCGCTAATATTCAACGTGGACTGTCCCAATTTTGATTGGCTTTTCAAGACCGCCGGCATATTGTAGTATTACCATACGTCTCAATGTTGCGCCCACCAGAACAAACCATTCACAGGTTTTCTCATAGGGATATTATGTTTGATTAAAAATGTTAATCATGACTTACCATATTGTCTTCCATTATCCATGAAACTTATTGAAGCACAGAAGAACAGCTGGCGGAAAATGACGGCAATCAATTCAAGTATAATTGTTACGTTTATTTTATACTTCTTCCCCTTTAGATATGATCTCACAATCCTACATCCTTCTAATCTTGAATCCTTATGTTAACTCACGTTATTCACTTAGACTATATACCTGTCTATTTAAATAGTGATAAAAAATAAATAAAAAGGTATATGACAGTTAAATGGGCAGTTGAAACACGTTGTGTAAGATTGACTACTGAATTTCGGTATATTTGGATAGTGTAATAAAGAGATGATTATCAGAACTACGTGATGTATTGGCACAATAAATTCCTAACGATCTGATCACACGTATAGTTTCAAGATACTCAACACTCATTTCGTCGTTTCATTAAGAATATCTAGGTAAAAACAATTGACTATAAGCAAAAGCAAGTTTCTTTAATGAAAACATTGATCAAAGTAGAACTGATAAGTTTGATGAGGTAGACTGATTATAAAATTGTTAATAAGAAAAAAATGCACTCTTAAATCATCAATATGTCTTGTAGTGGCTGTGCTTCGTTGACCAATCACCTTCGTAACCGTTATAATATAATCCTCAACGGTGTTTGAAATCAGAAGGCAAAGAGAAGCAGCGACTACAGTTTTATTGGCAGATAACTCAGATCACAAGGCAGTGAGGCGAATGAGTGAGTCAGCGAACCGAGAGTGTAGTGTTAATATATATATATATATATATATATATATATATATGTAGGAAAATGAATGGATAGTCGAATCAATAAAGCTAGCAGAATGAATATATGCGTAGGCGGTAAGCAATGTTCAAACATACATATTTCATACTAGCACAATAATAATAAAGGTACAATAAGCTGTTATAGTACAGATGACTTTGCCCGCTAAATAAGTTAACAAAAGGGCTTAACTAAGTTAAATGAGAACAAAATCGCACGTGAGATGCTCTAGTGTCTTAGATACTTTTCAGAATTGTATTGTACCCAACGTTGTTCGATGACTGTTTAATAAATTAATTGATTCAAATATTGCTTTATCACATATTTCAGTGCATTTAAATTCATTTTGTATCGTTTGTTTGAATCTTCTTATTGATGTTTAAGACTGCAATTGATCAGTCTCTTATTGCCTTATGTGAATCCTATGCAGATTGCTTCGATATTGCCTTAAGTCACGAGCATTATAAGCAAAGGTGGATGGTGACTAGCAGTAGAATCCAGCAGGTGCGTTTTGTCCTATTTGAGACTCGTCAGCTGGATGTACCTGCATCCCAGAATTGTTCACTCAGTAACTCGATACTGATCAATTGCAGTCCTAAACATCAATGGGAAGATTCAAACAAACAATAAAAAATGAATTCAAACTTCAATTCATTGCACAAGCCAGCAGCTATCAGGACTCAGTAATCAAGTGGGTAACGCGATGGCGCTTGAAGCGAACGGTATTGGATTTGATTCTTGGAGTGAACAACAATTCTCGGGTCCAGGTGCATCCTGGTGACAAGTCTCAAATAGGACGAAACGCGCATCCTGAAATCCACTACTAGCCACCATCCATCTTTTCAGTACATTTTTTATGAATTATTTTACTATGTAAGTGAGAACTTATAGAATTTATAATTTGTGATTTAATCTTATATCATTACAATAAAGTCTGTTAATTCTCGAACACTATCGAAGTTTGTACACCTAATTAACAAAATTAACCATCAATAAAGTCAATCAGGACAAAAACAGATTGGTTTGAAGAAAGAACTTCATTTTTTTAACTCTGAAGGCGACAATTTATACTGTGTTGCTTGTAGTTTTGACAATAATTAGCAATGGATTCTACAAAATCTACTTTGTCTTATATGAAATTTACCAACTGAATGCACCTCAACTCGAAAATTTATGTTCCACACTAGAACCCCAAACCCTTATTGCTTAATACCAACGTCAGAATATTATTCACCAGCCTATAAATTAACGTCAAATGTTTCCAACTAAATAAATTGTGATTAATACAATTTTCCAAACTAACCTTAACAGTTCTTTTTCATTAAATAATCCTATATTATTTCAATCAGTCAATTGTATAACAAACTACCCAGCTATGATTCAACATTCTATACACTTAGTAGATTATGAACAGAGTGGTCCCGAAGACTGTTAGAGGTATGAAAACAGTTGTCTGTTTCCAACCCCCTTGTACATTGAGCAGTATGACTTCACCTTCGTACCTTAAGTTGCTGGTTTTTGTCTTACTGTCCTCTACTGTCATCTACTTTTGCAACCTCAAGTGGTGTCCGTCAAGGCTGTCCACTTTCCCCATTTTTGTTTAACTTCATCATAGATCTACTGATGGAAATAACTTTCTCGTCGACTGAGTTCTCGGGTATTGATCTCCATCCAGGAGGTCCACTTATCGACTCAGAATACGCAGATGACATAGTCCTGTTTGGTGAAGACGCTGACAAAATGCAGAGTCTTTTGGTAGCACTAAGCAACAATGCCAGAATGTTTGGAATGCGCTTCTCTCCCTCGAAATGCAAGTTGTCGCTTCAGGACTGGTCTGCGTCAACACCTGAACTAAGGATAGGGAGTGACGTAGTCGAACGCGTTAGCAACTTCACTTATCTTGGAAGTCTGATCAGCCCTAATGGGTTGGTATCTGACGAAATCTCAGCACTGATTCGAAAAGCTCGCTTGGCTTTTGCCAACTTGCGTCACCTTTGGCGAAGGCGAGATATCCGTCTATCAATAAAATGACGACTATACTGCGTGGCAGTCCGTTCTGTTTTAATTTATGGCAGCAAAACATGGCCACTAAGAGTAGAAGACACTCAGTGCTTGAAGTCACTAACTTCTAGTCTGAGCCATGTTGGTAGATGCAGACTACTTGGTTGGGGTCCGCGTGACTTTCGTAACCAATGGTTGGAGACTCTTGGTGACATGGCTCAGAGTCGATCACAATGGCGTCGGTGTATACACTCCCTGTCTTCCCTTAAACTAAGAGATTAAAATCACTTCATATCTTTCTACGAACCAATTCTTTCTTCTTGTACTATATCTCTATATGCAATCTTCCTCTTATATATTACCACCTTTGACCTAACCACTGCTATGAATCCGGTGTTCATCTCGTTGTGCTGATGCGGTATGGCAACCTGGACCGATGCACATATGTGCCTGGTCCTACGTTGTAGCTGACTGACTTACTGTCCTCCAGCCGACCTATCTGTCGTTGTAAAACCTAGGAAAACAACTGTTCTAGCTAATGTAGGTCGACTAAGTTGTCACAATACGCAACCTCGATCACCACGTCAAGGCAGCAGCTATAGTTAAACCTATACGATTGATTCACAGTCGTTATGTATTGAGAATTACACCAATAAACAATGTTCACGTCATATGGTTTACCTTCTCTACGCCATCAAGACAAATACATGCTGTTTTATTCAGGTTTTTAATATACAGTACTAATAGTACATGAATGAGTCACATGGTTACAATTTAAATATAAAACTGTCAAAAACCAATCAAGAAACAACGACACAATAACTCGGAACACATTGATGTGAACTATGGTAGAATGGAATGCGCAAGGCTACAATATATATATATATATATATATATTCCACTCTGCCAATTTACGCCAATTCATTCCGAGTCATTGTATATATAAATAGAATAAAATCAACATATTAAAGAAATGCTGACACTTGATGTAAGTTGATTAGTGTAGGAAAAAATCAATACCACAAATTATACGGTATCTATAGTTTGAGTAACATTAATAAACTAGAAGTAAATCTGAACAGTCGCTGTCTCATCTGGTGTAATTGCTCGTTACGAGATTTGGAGATCTGGGGTTCGATCCCCAGTACGTTTGTAGATACGCAATGCCGAGGAGTCTCACAGGAGGACGGGATTACTGTCCAGTGCTTCCTGGTTCTCAACGGTTATTTCGTGATGCTAGCTATGAGATTAAACACTCCACCAACCCATTACTTACCAAAAACGGTTAACAAAATTAATCAGGTGACTGAGGTGATCAGATTGGTAATTTATATCAGAAAATCAATATATAAATCCAAACTAAAAGACCGATACAACTGGTGAATAGAAGCCGTCATCTCACAAAATATTTAACTAATTTAGTTGGCTTGGCGAAAAATGTTACAGTAATCCAACACTTCCGTTCGATATATCACCATAAAGAGCAGTAGACATTTTACTGCTACTTGTAACTTGCGCCTGAATGCCGGATTCCAAGGGGAAACTGAAAATTTTTTACTCTACTTTCCTGACCAATAAGGGAATCTTAGGTAAATTTCAGAATTTCAATAAAAGCCAAAAATGTCAGATTGTCAAATGACTTAATAAAGTCAATGTAAGTTAAACTCCCTGGCTTCCTTTTATCTAAAGACTGCTCCCAGCTCTCTCTTGATGGTGGAGAGTTGATTGTGTATTGATCAACAAGAAGTTGGATTACAAAAAGATAATGGTCTTAATAATTCTTATCAACATTTTTACAACAAAATGGTCAACGAATCGATTTGTGTCGCTTGGATCCTATTTTGTCGATCGAGATAATTATGGTAGATCTCCAATCCAATGGTAAAATACACTGGATGCCTCAAGTTCTGAATATTACTATCAGGAGAACAGGTAGTTTTTAATATAAATCCTCAGCGGTTTAACTTCAAAAGAAAAGTATCCTCTACAAGGCTATTCATAATGTAAAAGCGAGGTATTATTTTTAAATTATGAAATACTTGATAAATGAAGAGCTGAATAGATTAATGCAGAAACTAATTCTGAAACATGGAAATTCAAAGAATGATAGAAAATTTCTGAAATCATGCCAAAAAATAACCAATAACTGTATTTATATAGACTTAATCTACAAATCTATACGGAAACAGACAACCAGTTACGTGGAAAGCGACAAATCAAATAAAAATACAAACCAAAAGTTAACAAAACTACGAAGACAAAGAGTCACAGATAAATTTGTCAGCATAGATTGATTAAACGCTTGTAGGATAGTAATTAAACAAGGCATTTTTACGTCAACAAGACACTGAACATGTTGTCCAGAAGAACAACGAAAACTTTACAATTCAACCATTAAGCTTAAAGAATTCAATAAAATCAAAATAAAATAATCAGTCCTATTTCTTTATCAAATGGCTCCAAACACCAATACAGAAAAGTATAATGATTACAATTAAGTGGTTGAAGAGTTGTAATCTCATTTTATTTATCCATTCAATATAAGTCATAACCGATAAAAAAAATAAGGAATGGATTAGTAACAGGGAAACAGGATACAAAACTTAATTTCACATTAAAATAGAGATTTATTGCTTCGTGCAATAACATAGAAATATAATATTCGGATAATAAAAATTCATACAACAGTAGGGTATGCATAAGATATCATTTCATTCGAGTTGAAACTTATAGCTATGATATGATCAAGTGGAAAATATAACCAAGTTAGTGAACTAAAAAGAAAATTTACAAATATCTTTCTTGCTTAAGAAATTATTATCATATCAAAAGATCATTACGAATATGTATACAAGGATATATATGTACTATTGATCAATATTTATTAACATCAAGATTCTAATGATCAGAATCACCCCTCTCTGTATTGTTGTCATCAACTGTGGAAATGTCTTTAGCAGAATTTCCAACTATAACCTGTTGTGATTGATGTCCAGATAATAAGTATAATAAACATTGTTCCAGTAGCCCAACACATAAATCGAAACAAGGTCTGAAATATAGAAGAAAATTACTTCCATTATTAATATCAAAAGTTAACTGTTTTTGTCAAGTTGGATTGTGACATAAGTTCATCCTGGATGATCTTCAATTTAAACAAGAGTATTAATTAAAGTTTAGTTATGGATAGCAGCGGAATCGAAGACTCATATTTTGTCCTATTTACGACTCGTTAGCTAGATGTACCTGCATTGCTGTATTGGTGTTCTTCACACTGAGACCCGAATGCGAATTTGCTTCAGATCCCAACGCATTATCCATTGAGCTACTCAGTCCATTAAACTACTAACTTGTTCAACGGGCATAAATTTGTTTTGAAGTGCGCTTGGTTATTGTATTTTAGGATCTAATGGTTTAATATGTTTTGATGAACTGTCACTTTTATAGATAAACCAATCAGGATTAATTTGTATTTAAGATTTTTATGTGAAATTAAAAAGTAGTCCTGTAACAGCAAAGAAAACACACTGGAGGAAAGATTAACAGTTAATTGATATGCTTCATTATTTATCTTGTGAACAGGGTCAAAAATGAAAACACCATGGATTAATGCTACAACTGCATAAGCAAAGTGAGAATGAATGGTTGTAAGCTGCTACTTGTTTGACGATTTGCACATTCTGTGCATTTACACTAAACTTAGTGTGTTGGTTATACATCATCCACCTGAGCTAGAAATCTTCACCATCTCAAAAACTAGTAACTTATTTTATGGACCCGGGATTTCTCGGTTGTTGTCCCTAGTTGCGTGGTTATTGTTAGCATATTCTGAGTCCATTGTGAAGACATTCTAAAAGCTCACTTCTTTTGAAGAAGAGTTTCAACTGTTTCGGGTTGATAATAAGTTAACCATAGTAATATACTGTGGAGACAACACGAAGAAAACATGGATACTATGACCGCTAAAATTCAACTATATCAGTTGTGAAGCAATTATTCAATAGTGGCCATATGATAACTGTTGAGCTATATCTCAAAGCTGGCTGATACGTGACAGTATATTGATTTCCCAATCATCAAAATAGAGAGAAAGTATTAAGGTATTTCTTCGTTGAGAGGGAGTAAATTACAAACTCTAATAAACAAAAAATTAGGTGTGACTGTAATTTATGGACTATCTTCGGGCGACGCTAAACTGACCTTAAGAGTGTCCACCTAATAACTAGGACCAAATGAGGCTTAAAAACCGGTGTTAGGAATCAGAATTATGGTTGGTAGTTGATGATCAAGGTTAGGAATTAAATCTCGGGTTTTCATCACGAACTGACGTCAGCTATAATGCCAAAACTCCATTTATCCAAATGGATGAGTGAATTTCGCGTCAAAATTGGAGACCTGTTATTTTATACGTGATTAGTTCGTCCATAAATTATAGTCTCGCCAAAAATTACCAATCAGTAAATATGTGAAAGTGAAGTGATAACATATGACGACGTAAAAGTACTCATCTTCCAGCTAAACGGTTTCAGATTCAAAACGTGTTTAGTGGCCGGGTATTTGATTGTTATCGAAATACACATGTCGCCAATCCTCGTATATAATTATCGACTTAAATCGCATTGGTGAATAACGAAACTAAATAAGTCAAATATGAGAATGGATTTTCTAATATGTATATTTTGTACAATCATTAATCGGAAAGTGAAATAAAACATGGTACGCAGCGAGGGAGGTGAGTGAGCCGAAATGATGTCACCAAGCCTTAATCGATATTTATAGTCACACAAAAATAAGCTACAGAAATGTGATGATTAGGATAAGTGATGCATATATATGCGCTCACATGAAAACAGTCAGGGCTGATAAGTTACAAGGTTAAAATGTAGCTTGAGAAAAATGAGTAAATTGGTCTGTGTACAGAAATGAGAATAACCTATATGGGCTTGACATGTGGCCATTCACCACACATAAGCCAATTACTTCAAATTCACCAGAGATACAAGTGTGGCTAAACATCACATCAACTGATGTGGCTTAAGGTCGAGGATATTAACTTGAACATGGCAAGTAAGTTAAGTATATGCTACGTTGGTGTGAGGAATCATTTGTGTATTTTAGAAAGCTTTTTCTTGATGTAAACTTGATCCACATAACTGATCGTCTTTATTTAATATATAAATGAAATTATGAATAAATTTGAAGCAAAAATCCTACCTATTTCTTGGATCCAATGAAACGCATTGACTTGTCATGTTTAATAATATTGGTGGTGTATTGATCGGAAAATTTTCTAGTTTCATTAATTCATCCATTTCTATACAGAAAGTTTTTGCATCACGTATTAAGTTATCTGGATCAGCATTTGTACGTAAAATTAATTGACACATAATTGTGCCAAATGAATATACATCCACTGAATTATCATATGGTTGACCAACTATCATTTCTGGAGCCATCCAGTATGGACTACCAACCTTTTTATAATTAATCGTGAGAAAGAGGGAAACAGAAGTTATATACAGAAAAGGATATTTAAAACATAAGAACTTTATTATTTCAGTGAGTTATACAGGCTGGCACATATATGTATCGGTTCAAATTCACATACTATATCAATACAGGGAGATTAGATCATCAAACTAGTAGAAATAGCAGTAGCGGAAAATTTGTACACATAGCCAATATGATTAAAGAAAGAATAAAACTGACCAATAAAAATTATGAATATTTAAAAAAAGAGTGGAATATATATGGCTGGTTTTGGTTAATGTCACTCAATGTATCTAATCAATGGTTACGATAATTGCGCGGATCCTAACAAGGGAGCCTACATCTATTTAAACAGCTCAGTCCAGCAGTCAATAACTTTATGTACTGATGTTATATCTTGGTTTGGTTGCTATTAGCTTTCTTCCAACGACTCCTATAATATTGTTCGTGAAGGTAGACAGTGGTTGGGTATATGCAATACATATCCTAATCACTTTAATCGTTGAATGTTTTACTACTCATCGATTGGTTGACTATCTTTACATAGTACTCTGCATTTAAACTCAGACATTTTTATTTAAGACCAGTATAAATCATGGGTTTAGGGACAATACTATCCAAGGTCATGTCGTTGGTCTGAACCTAAGTGGATTTAGGCAGATGTGATAATGGCGTGGTGAACAAGAATTCAGTTGAGGACAACCAAATTACAAAGTATCTTGCTGAAGTATAAGAATCGTACACTGAATACTTCATTTGAGAATTCCCATCATTTGTCTTTCACATTCCGTATAATTCTTTCAGTTCACAATTCCTTTCAATTTTCCTTTTATTCTCTTCAACTCGATCTTTTTAGCTTTCAACTACCAGGTTTTCCACGTTCGGTGTTACGTACTACTTATGTCGACAGACATGAGTAATATACACCACAGTAATATTAATAGTCTTCACATGTAGCGTGATTTGCAGCTGGGCATATGAAATATTTGGTAAAAATAAATTATAATATTTAACTAATATTGGATTAGTCGAAACAAGTTCATTAAAAATGGACTTTTGTATAAGTGTAGTGTATTTGTAGAATTGGATGATCTTATGGCTAACAAAAGTGATTTTAGAAACAGTGAAATAGACTATTAGTTTCCCTGAAAAAAAGTGTTTTAATACCTTTGTTTATTCTACCTTACTGTTACTGTGGTGTGGGTTACTTATATCCACATAAGTGGTCAGGCATAGAATGTATTTCAGTAGAAGATTGATAAGGAAAGAACGGGAACGGAACGCAATTGGTATGAAAATGCATGAACGATGAAATCTGAGACAGTGGACTGATATTTACAAAAGGAAAAGTCAAGCTTGAGACGATGGATTGATATTTTGCAAATTAACTTATAGTGTCGGTTATTATGTTAACCCATATACCTTATTCTTCGTTTCGGACAGACCATTTCATTCATTCTACTTGAGTCACATTCTGACCTTGTTATTTATTCGCTTATCAATCTTGGCTGTTTTTATATGAGCGCGTAGGTGTGTGTACATTTCTTATCCCATTACTCATCACATGTCTGTAACTTACTTTTGTGTAACCATAAATATTGATTAATGCTTGGTTAAATGGGAGTTGGCTTACCAGCCATCTCCACTCTGCATTGTTTCTCTTCTCTCTATTCCATTCGCTTTATATACAAAATATAAGTATTCACAAGTCCATTCTCGTTATTCGACTTATTTAATTCCGTTATTGATTAACACAATTTAAGTCGATGACTATATACGAGGATAGGCGATAACAAACATTCATACGATCTAATTGTAGTCAGATCTCAAGCCACTAAAGTGGAGAGCCCTTTCGACAACATCATCCGATCTAAATGACGACAAAAATAACGAGCCCCACAAACTACTATATGATTCTCAGATTTTATTGAGATGCTCTGTAATTTCGTATCAAATACACTAAACTGTTCCCACTCGTGTACTTGTTCACTATATTCAACAGAATTTTATTGCCAATATTATTGTGATTATTATCATACTGTAGAAGTACGTATATATTTGCCGAAAACAGAACTCTCCACTGAACTAATCTTTCTTATTTTATGTCTCAATGAGCATATTCTATTTACTAGAAACTGTTGTAAAGCTCGGTTTTAGTTTGTCTAATGTTATAACGGTTGGGTTTCCACTTTTACACGAATGGGACGAATATCTACATTATATTCCCTCCCAGTGTCTATTCTAAAGGATATCAACATGGCTCAGATCAAGAACACGTGATTAGCCTGACCACAACGTAAATATATTTCCACACCAAAAACCCGACACAATCCAACAACAATGAACAATCAATACTAAGTGAGTAATGATAATAAGGATAGGGGAATATATAACTCGTCTGACACCTATCAGACTATCTACATGTCTGACTAAGCAGACAACCAATCATTATCATTCTCGCCCACACATCAGAAACACACTGTGTCATGAAGTTATTGTTAAAATGGTATAAAATTCGGGATCACATCGTAATTCAGTATATTTAAAATGATATATCTTTGTCCAGTATATTTGTGGTGAGACTTTGATTTATGTACGACCCTGGAAAGATATTAAAGTGACCTCGAGAAAATCCACCTACCTACTACGATCGGAAGAAGGCCATAAATTCGTGTGAGAAATTAGGATCGGGATTTAGAGTTAGGAATTGAAGTTATCATCACGAAATGATATCAGACATAGTGCTAAAACGTTAGGATAGACTCCACTTTCGTTCGTAATTTTGACCGTGCACCTGGCAACCAACCAAAATGAAGTGGTAATCATTATCTGCACTATCGTCAACCAAGATGGAGGGTATGGTTTTTTCTCTGTCGATGTTGGTCGCTTACATGAAAAATATAAAGTTTTCTACGACGAAAATACTACTCTATAGTGCTACGGACGTGTCAAGTGTAGTGCACTCAAGTCATGATGGAAGAAAAATTACAACATAGCAAAAACCATATCTCCAATTTATCCTAAAATATAAATTACCCCAACATATCCACAATTGAGTAACTGAGTAAACGACATAATAACCGTAATTACTGACCACGACACACTCAGACGAACTGAGTCCTATTTTGCCATATAGGTGAATGGATTTCGCGCACAAGTCCGAGGCCTGACATTTTAAATCTAATTGGCTAGTCCAAAAATTATAGTCTTACCATATTTGTTTTATTTCAGTGTAATATTTATTCAATATAAAATAGTTTTATATTAGATTTAGTGTGATATTTGTTCAATATAATATCCAGAATTCATTTTGTTTTTGAGTCAGAGTAAAATCCACTTATTAATACATATTTCCATTATCTTCAGTTGTATATGGATATTCATTATTGACTAATCATTGTTTTCCAGTGAAGTCTATGTATAAATGAGTATGTTTAATCGCTGTGTGTTTTAGAGGGTGATATAAAATTATTATCTATCATCAGTGATTATCATTTTTGTTTGCGTTGTGTAAACTTTAGTTTTGGTTTTCCAAATTGTACATGATATAGGATACAACTGGTTTAAGCTTTAAAACTGCCTTGACTAAGGGATAAGAAACAGTTTATGGTATGAAACACACATCACAATTGATTGATCACTGGGTGGCGATCAATGTCATGCGTGTCTAGTCCTTATTAGTGCAGATCGAATGCTATCGACCATATTGCAATGTGACTACCAGCCAAGTAGCACGAAACCCGGGTCCAGGGTGTCCTGACGACTACCTCCAACCACAATCTAATGAAACACACATATTAAGTAACGTCATAGAATACCCTAAGATAACTGAAATTATTTCATTTGGTTGAGTGAAATTACTTGAAACCAATAGATACTGACTTTTTAATGCTTAACAATCATTTCACTTACTACAGTATGTCTTCTTGGATGGTTGTATGCATGATGACGTCTAAGACGAGGAGTATGATTACGTTGAACATCGGCGTTATTTGAAGTATCAGAAGAAGAATCTTGAATTATTGGTGCGGAGTCATTTGTTGTCGTGTGATCGGAGCATTTTTCTTCCGTTTCCTGACTACAAGACGGAATTGACCGAACTAATTTTGACAATCCGAAATCAGACACAACTACAGAGTCATCCTAATGAAAAGAAAATACGAGAACTTTCTAGAACACTATTTTTCAACAATCAATTCATAAGACTTATTAGTCAGAAAAACATCAAGTGAATAATATTATGATGAATAAAATTTTCGGGACCAACTTATTGCAGACTTTAGTAGGTGACACAACAAAAAACAATTTTGGTTGTTTTTTGTGTGGGAGAAACCATGATAATTAGTTTAAATAAAGTGACAATTGTTTTATATTATAACTATTAAGGGATTATATTATACGGTTGTCATTAAAAAAATGGTTAGAACAATGTAATCCTTTCAGGGTACACATATACCAACAAAGACTGATCAAAATTCAGCCATGATGATCAACAATGAAACAATAGACTTTTACCAATAGCATAAGACAACGTGCCTGTTGAACAAGTTGGTGGCTAACTGAACAGAATAGCTGTCAGCAGATAACTCGTTGAGGTATGAAGTAAAAAGTATTGGGTTCGAGTCCCATTGTGAAGAACATCAAACAATGGGATGGAGGTATATCTAGATGATGGGTCCTATGTAGGACGAGAAGAAAGTCCTGGATTCCAATCCTGATATTCTAAGGAAGTGGTATCCAAGTAATTTCTGAGTGGACAGTGGCCATAAATGTGAAATGTTATACGGTGCATCGGTTTTAGCGGCTTCCATTTCTCATTTTGGGAGATTCTCATTAAAATTTACTGTACTCTTATTTACAGCATCAAAGTGGTATGCTCCAATGGTACACGTAAGTTTTAAAATCCCTCTTATACGGTAAAGGACAGAAAATTTAACAATAACAATCGACTACATAAGTTGAAGATTAAAAATTAGTTATGGAGTATAGATCACATAGCAATATAAAACGCAGAGATTTCAGTTTGTATAAAGTACTTGGGTTTAAATAGTTATTAAAGCTGCAATATTTTGTGGATGTTTACTTGTGAAGATAACGGTTCATACATTTTTTTCCATTGTAATATTCATGATTTATATGAAGGTTTTGAAGCTGCACAGATGCTCAAAACGAAACTAATATATTGATGAACCACTGAGTAGTAACATATCTCATGGCTATCTAGTCCTGAGTGCTGGTCAAATCATACTGATCAAGTTGCAATGTGGTCATCGTGACTTCAGTCACTACTGTGATTAATCACTGCAAATATTTTGATTCTACAGGAGGTCAGTCACCACTCGAATAGCTGAACGATACCGTTTTAAACTATGATGCTGGTTGATGCAGCCTCGAATCCCACAAGGACAATTAGCTACCTAGAAGTTAGAGGTACAGGTTGTTTATAAGCGCCAGATGGCACGAAATCCAAGTCCGTAGTCCTCAGCCGACTAATTCCAGCCACTTAACATCTAAACAAAGTTAGTAGTTTTACTGACCATGCAATTTGATCTAAGAGTACCGTAGCAACGCCAAAAAATGTAGTATAAATTAGGTTCCCAAAACTGACGTACATTCCTACTAGTTTCGAATTAAACATTTCAAACTAACATTTATTTGAACCCTCATTACTAAATGATTCGATTAAAACAGTTTGACGTTATCTACCTCAATCTTGTTTGGTTTCAATTATATTTTTGTTGTTGAAAGGATTGTTTCTTTTAAGAAAAGAAATTTGAAGAATACTAATAGCGTTTCAAATCGTTAACACAATGAATGATGTTTATAAATAATGTTTAATTAGCTTACTTGTCGTACAAGACAATTAAGAGTTGTTAAATCCCGATGTATAACGTCATGTTTATGTAAATAAGCCTAAAAGTCGCATCAATAAAAATACAAATCGTGTTAATTCACAAAGAATAAATAATTTTTTGGTATTTTATTTATAAGTAATGTAAACTGTTGCATTATTTAATATTTTCATGGTTCAGAAACATTACTCGCCGACCAGCATTCACCAACCCAATCTATCATGGGACTTCATTTCTGGTTCTATCCTATTTTTGTTCATTTTCCTCATGTCTATCTCCATTTCTCGACGTAATGTGTTCATTGGTCTTACTCTTTCTCCTTTGGCCTTGAGGATTCCAAGTGAAGGCTTGCATTTTGATGCAGTTGAGTGCCTTCCTCAATGTGTGTCCTATCCACTTCCAGCGATTCTTCCTGATTTCTTCCTCTATCGGGATCTGGTTTGTTCTCTCCCAAAGTAGGTTTTGCTTATAGTGTCTGGCCAACGCATCCAAAGTACTTTGCATAGACAACTGTTAATAAACACTTGTATCTTCTGGATGATGACTTTCGTAGTTCTCCAAGTTTCCACCCCATACAGTAGAACTGTCTCGACATTTGTATCCCATGCTTTCCCTCAGATGTTGACGTCTTCATGATCCAGTCGATCACCAGGAGAAAGAGGAAGGTTGAGTAAGCAACCTTGCCTTACACCGGTCTTTACCTCGAACGAGTCTGTCAGTTGTCCTCCGTGCATGATTTTACGGTTTAATTCATCACAGGGATTCCGTATGATATTGACTATCTTCTGAGATACACTGTAGTGTCGAAGAAGCTTCCATAATGTTGTCCTGTCCACACTATCAAACGCTTTCTCGTAGTCAATGTTGATATAGAGCGATGAATTTCATTCCATTGATTGTTCCACAGGTTCAGAAACATGGTATATTACAAAATATTTACTTGCAATAAAATAATGTTCTACAGTATATTGTCTTCTTTATGATGATGATCTTGGAAAAATCTTTTAAACTGTCAACATTATACTGATTGTTTATTATAAACGGAATCAATCATTTAAGAACATCGCATATTTGTTTTTCATGTCTCTGGCAGATTTATCACGATAGAAACAGAACGGAATTTTCCTTAGATCCATTTATGAATTGTAAGCAAGGATTTTAATGACCTAGATATTAGTTTCGACAGATTATTGATAATTTAATCTAATTAATAACCGTAGACAGGGTAACCAGTTCACATATTTTTAGTTGCCTAAACACATGTAAAAAAATATTACGTTAGCCTCTGTATACGATACACAATAAATCTTATTATTCAAACAAAATAAGGCGTCATTTTTAAATGAACTAACATATAATCAAGTTACCCAATTAACTTTATAATAACACAATTGAGTAACTAAATACAGGTTCATAATCAGTCTTTGGGTCAAATATTCTTATGTAGAAACGAAAGTGAATATCTTGTTGTTAAGACTGACAGAGCAAAGCTCAAAAAATAAGAATTAAAGGTAGTTTTTCAACAGGTACCTACCTCATCGTTCAATTATTCGTTCACTAATGTTTATGTAAACACTGAGAATTTAACGAAATTAGTATTATTGACAAAACAATTTATATTTAATTGACAAAAGTATTCACTTGATAATTACAGTATATTTCCTTTCTCATTATAGATGAACAAATACAATTTATCATTATAATGAATACGTTAACATTGAAAGAGTATGCTCATCATAATGTAATCCGCATTGCTTTCTTTATTATCTATTTTTCTTTTATCTTTTAATTTGTTTAGTTGACATTTATTCTTTCATTTATAAATTAATTAACACATAAATATATGACCAGACTGTTTGAAATATACTACTCTGATATATCATATAGTTCTAATAAAGTTCATCTTCTTAACGCATTATCTAGATTTATCAAATAGTCTGTTTATTTATTATAATCACAATAATTACACCTTAATAACAATAATAAGCTACAACGTAGGACCAAGCACATATATGTATCGGTCTAAGTTGTCATACCTCAATAGCACAACAAGATGAATACCGAATTCATAGAAGTAGTTAATTCAATCGTGGTAGTATACAAAAGAAAGATTGCATATAAGAATATAGTACAGGAAGAAAGAATTAGTTGATAGAAAGATATAATGCAATTTTAATCTCATAGTTTAAGGAAAGACAGAGAGTGTATACACCTGAACCATGTCACACCGAGTCTCCAACCACTGATTACGATAGCTACGCGGACCCCAACCAAGTAGTCTGCATCTACCAACACGGCTAAGACTAGAAGTTAGTAACTCCAAGCACTGATACCACGTTTTGGTTTGGCCATCCCTAATTTCCTCCAACCATCCACAACACTCGTCAGCATTATGCGTCGGGGTAATCGGTGTTCAGGCATATATAACACGTGGCCCAACCATCTCAGCCAATGAAGATCCACATCTTCATCAACTGCTTTACCATCATTTCCTAATACCCTGCATCTAACTTCACTACTACTTACCTGGTGATCCCAGCAGATGTGAGCAATAGTTCTAGGGCATCTATGGTAAAATAATAGTAGCTTACGAGTATTTTCTACTCTTAATGGCCACATTTGCAACTGTAAAGTAGAACAGAGCGAAGTGCTGTACAATATACTCGTCTCTTAATTGATAGACGGATATCTTGCCTTCGTACGTGACGTACGTTGGCAAAAGCCAAAAGAGCTTTCTAAATAAAACAAAACATATTTTGAAAGAAAAAAAAACAAAACAATTAAACTTACCATCCCTGATGCAATATCACGACCAAATGTTATTATTTTAATCCAATCAAATGGATATTTAATTTTATCCAAGCATAATGAATGTAAACTACCTTTTTCAATATATTCAGTAATAAGACAAAATTGTCTATTTCGAATAACCACACCGACAATTGTTAAAATATTTGTATGTTTTAAATTTTGAAGTAATGAAACCTGTAACAAAATATAAAAAAAGATAATTGTTTAAATGAAGGGTAAAAATATGATACTAGTCCTTCCTTACTGAGTGGGTTGGAGAATGCTGGTCGGCGGCCTATGCTCCACTAGGAGTAACTAGCGTAAGTAAGTGAAAATATGATAATAAGATAATGAAATAATGATAGATATTATGTTGTTTGAAATTGTTAAATATCTTGGAAACAATATGGAAGGACTAGCACTAAATTAAATTAGTTTATATTGATTTAGTTCATATGTCAATAGAGTGTGAGTGGACAAAATTACTAAGGTGAAAGTCAAGAGTTGATATTATGGTCGTATGAATGATGGATAAAAACTATACGTAAAGAACGTTTAGACAGAGTCGAATTTCCCCCATAGACGAGCTGCTGTATAAGTCCGAGAGATGGTGCTACACAGTAGCTAGAGATTTTATCAGATATGGCTCAGAATAGAAGCCTGTGGCGATCCCGATGTAACCTTCTTTCACTTTCTTCGTAAAAAGTGGTTGTATCTTACTTAACTGAAAGATTTCTTCTGGTTGTACGTTTCCGTTCCCCCATTATTACTATTATTATTACACTACCTTACACCAATCCGTTCGTTATTGTTCTCTTTTTTTTACGCTCCTTACCTTTTTTCTTTTTCCTTCTCTTTAAATTCTCATTGTTTTGTGTGGTGCATATACATTTGGCGCACTCTTGTACCAATATTTATGTGTTCAAATAATAATAATAATAATAAAATGCGTAAAGAGCAAATATTTCGCAAATAAAAACAGACAGTGAAACTGAAGAATAAGAATTATGAGACAATATTAAGACTTTAGAATTGAACACAACTGTTTCCGTACGATACTGTAATCTTTGAATCAACTGATAAACGCTTAATATATAAGTAAACGTTTTGTTATTTTATAAAAATTATAACACAATACGTTTACGTTTGTTCACAGTCTTTTTCTTGTCTTCAGCCACTGATCTATTATCAAATATTAGAGTACGTTTCAGATTGATCTGAGAATTTCTATATCACTACATACATTACTATGATTCATTTTAGATGCGTATCAATCTATGCAATGAAATGGTTTAAAGTAATGATTTTATTTCAAAGGGTTCTGATACAGTTATATAACTTCAGGAATTGTTAGGGACAATAATCATTGATGAAGTTATGTATCATCATAAAATAAGATTATATTAGAATGTAGTTGATTCTATTGAAATTCTCGCCAAATACAAATTAGTATACTCAAATTTCAGCCATAGTTTTAGTAGAAATGACTAACGACACTAGGTGATTGTTTTGACCGACGTAGATTTACTATAGTTTTAGTTTACATTTCTATACATCAATTATACTTATTATTAGTATTATTTTGTGTTAACGATTAGTGTTAAACCACCTGAAGTAATAAGATAGAATAATTTAGAAACATAAATGAGCAGAATACATAGTCAAAACTTGTATATACATATATGTGATGTTTTGCCGGGCATTGTATTCATACTGAAATGCATAATATCTACATTGACCTTAAAATATCATAAAGATCACTAAGATTGATTGACTAAGGTGTATTATAGAGTTTTATTTAATTAGAAGTTTCTATTATCATTCTAACAATAATTAGCATACATATCTATAGAAATATAAATTACTACATAATCTAATTGCATGTGACTGAAAATGTTACATATGGAAAATTCTGTTAACTTGAAAATATTGAGAAACTTACAAAGTTACATGTATCAAAGAAGTAAGAGTTTTCAACCTGTATATACTATTCAATAACTAATTTTGTATCATTCATATTATCATTGGAAAACAATTGAAGTTACAGAGATTGTGTAAAATGCTTCAAAGTGTGAACTTTCATTATATAAATAGTTTAACGTGTGAATACTAAAACGCCACATATATTTGCAATTCATTTAGCAAGTTATCATATAGAAAGATACATTCAATCACTGCTCTATAACTGATTTGTATGTTTCATTCTACTACCAGTCAATCAATCGATCTCAAACAATATACAATATACTTCTACTCCAGCGAGTATCAAGTGTTGAGGTAGGTTGTAGTTGGTCAAACGTGTAGTGGGTCCTTATTTGGTGAAAATTCATAAACTTATTAATAGATTAATCATTTTCGTCTAGTACCACCTGTCTAACCTAGATAAAGCTCACTCTATGTTCCCAACACATGCGAGTAATGCTCTGGAGATATCTATGATTTGATACTAGCAGCCAGTCCACGCTCTCTTCTTCTAAAGGTTATGTTTCACAAGCATATAGCAAAACATAGTGCATGGTTGAGTAGGATACTGGTTCTTTGGTTGGCAGACATCTTGCCTACGGCGCAGCTAGCACAGTTAAACAATGTCAACCGAGCTTTCTGGACGTGGGTCGAGATTACATCAGATCCATCCAAATGGGACTGATGAAACTTCTACGATAAGTTGAGTGATTCACTCACTTAGACAACCCCAATTCAGGCGTTGACACGAAGCAGTCTTGAGAAATTTGGAATTTAAAGACTGAGAAACTCCAAATATGCTTGGACTGCAGCTTAGGACGCTTAAGGGACTGCATCTAATAAGTGCCTTCACTAAATGGACCAGGTAAAAATCATACTCTAAGTCACTAAATAAATCATCTGACCAGATGTCAGTCCCTTAAAAGTCAGATGAAGAACCCGTATCTATGCTTACAGAGAAGCTGAATAGAAATGGTGACACTGAGCAGCTCTGACAAAAAGCGCTTGAAGCTGACAGTTTTAAAGATAGTTCGCCATAAGCCTACACGAAGCCTTTGCACTTTTTTGTACACCTAATGATAAACATTGTCATAAAGCCTTTTGGTCTACGAAGTCGAATGCTAACTTCAACTCAAGTAATATTACTACTGTCGGACATCAGTAGGTATGCCTTAGCTCTGAAACCTGACAAACGGTCAATATTTGATCGACACTTTGATATCCAGATTTGAAGCCACCCAGGTTTATGTGAGTTTGCTATTCACGAACCCTAATTTAGGGTTGCATGTTTCCAATGTTACAAGTAGGGACTTTGTTTGTGCAACTCACTCACAAAATAAAGATCCAGAATTTACGAAACAGATCTAAATTCTAAACAATAAGAATCGCCTAAAATACTAGAACACAAAGGTTTGGGTTTATGATTTCCTAATGATTGCTTCAAACGTACAATATGCATAAATGTTTGGCAAGGATGACAAGAATTTTCAAGAATCAGCGATAAAAACAAGAAATGCTTAAACTGGTAAATATTTCCAATAACAGATTACTTTATGAATACTTTCCGTATGACAAATTAGATAGAGCCCACATAATACGTCTGATGTTGATTGTAAACTGGACGCATAGCAACTGAGTAGTTGGCAAGAATAAATAAAACATAATGAAGTACGTTTGTGCTAAGGGTCACTTTGAGATTATAAAAACTCTCCTTAAAGCCCACAAAATCAATAATAACCATAGAGTTACTAACTAGTATTAGGATGGGTCCTCTGAAATTCTATTAGGATGACGTGATCTGATGAGTGAATTAGGTTGAAAGTGAGACAGTACCTTACCGATGATAGCGGATAAGGATAATGCCACAAAACAACGTAGCTAAAGTTTAAACTATGAACCACTCCATTTCTACTCAATGGTCGAAAATTACTGTGTTGGACCCTTTTCCGTGTTGGTTCGTGAGTTTACATCACTAAGAAGTCCCGCAATGGAACGAAATATTGGACTAGTGATCTGTGAGTTTTAATTGCTCTTCAAATGGCATCAGTTCTCAATGGGAATCATCTTCAAAATATACAAACATTTTTGTAAAACCCTCAAAACTAATAATCCAAACATAAACTTAAATGGAAAATGGTATGATAAGCTGAGAGATTGCTGAAAAATAAACAAATGATCCAAATAGATAATTCAAAGCAATCATAAACTAACAATTTTTTATGTATTACAGACTATGTCCCTTCGCGTAACTCCGCCTGTAACCTCTCTGAGGCTAACTACGGTCCCAAGCCGAGATAAAAGAGCGTTGGATATGGGGTTAGTGACCTCATCCCGTAGAAAACTAACTCGCTAAGAAAACGCTAAACAGAAAAAACAATTCATCCCTTCGCGTACTTTTAAAAATAGAATTATGTTCCTTACTTCGCGTATAATAGTTGCCTCGATTGCTTTGTTTTGTTCAATAACCTCTTTAAGAACCAACAAACAATTAGATTGTCGGTGTTTTACCTGAAATGGAACGAGGTGAAAAAGCAAATTAACACGGCTAACACACGTATAAATAAATACAAACACACAATCATGAGGTTTTTTAGAATAGTAGGAGACATGTTTTTATGATAATCTTCGGATAATATGTCATTTTTATTACCTACTGTATAAACAATTATCGGCCAGTAGATTGTCGCAGTCAAACATTTAAACCTATTATTATCACAACACTAGCATCATTTAGAGGAGTACCGAGAAGAATGGAAGGATAGACAAGTTGTTTGTTTAAGTTTGCGACTTTCCGGGATTGTACACCTATGGCTTACGATATGAATGAGCTCAAACTATAGTGTCCAGGCTAGTACAATCTCACTTTCGAATTGACTTACTCGTTATGAATTTTCGGTTCAATGTCCACTTAGCTTTGCATTCTTCGAGAAATTATTTGGATATACATTACTACGTCAGACAGAAAAGAAGTACTTTGTAATAAACTGGAAGGACTTTGCGTCTATGAGGAAGAGCTTTTATCTTAAACAGGGAAATCCTGCAAGTACAAACTAATGAAAATTGAGAAGTTTCACCAATATGCTCTTCTAAGAGAGCGGCAGATTACATTATTAGCATAAATAACGATAACGTATTAAATGCAATGTTTTATGAATAGTTGAAATAAGTTAAATAAAACAGACTATTTGAATTAACTTCTCTGTTGTAGTGTTTGAAGATGCAATAAAATGGTGTCACGGTTGCTTCCTCAAAACTGGTTTCAAAAGTTCGGCAACCGGAAAGACAAGACAAGAGCACATTCAATGAAAAAACACAAACAACTAAGCTGAATGAATGATAAGATGCATGTATACAAATTCATCTCGCTCAAAATTCACATCAGTTTAAGGCCTTATGACCACAAGGTTTCACTTTTTTAACTCTCACGTGTTAAACTATGCAATTATATGTCAGTTTGTGTGGTAAATTATCATGTGAAAGTAAATGACAATATTTAGCGACATCTTCAAAACAGTGAATACTCCGACCCACAATCAAATTAGTTATAGGTAAAATCCTTAGGCCGTTAATAAGCAAATCGTCACTAAATAAGACCAATCTAGTAAGGTAATACAATGTCTCTTTATGAGGACTCTCAAATTAACATATGGTATTTGAAGTTGTAAGTAAACTTCTGCAATGATGTAAACTATTTCTTTTTAGACTCTGCACATGCACGAAAATATTCTTTGTTTGACATCTTGCACTGACATTTTCATTTAGTAGCACCCAATGTATTTGATCAACAGTAATTGAAAACACGGTTATAATAATAAAAATGATAATAATAATAATGCAGCAAAATGCTATTTTAAGATATCAAAAACGATCAGTGATAATTTGCTACTTTCAAGAATCACAAACTATCTTCTTAGTAACGGAAGTCAGTTAATATTCGAATGCCCAACTTACTTTTAAAGCTCTACCATATGCTCCACTTCCAATTTCACCTAATATTTCTAGATCTTTCTCGTCTATATTCGGAGGAAACTCTACCGTGGATCTAACACTAGTCGTACGAGTCAATGAAACACGATCACATTCTTCTTGAATGGTGCATTGAGCGTTTGAACGTGAAAATCTACAACTAAATATAGTTATTGACAGCTTTGGAAAATTATTACCCATGATCCTTGCTATCATTTCGTAAAGATACACTCTAAGAAAATTGATATTATTTCACTTCCGATGGAAATGATCTTACAGTCTGAAGCTTCTTTGTTAACATTCGTTTATTTGTGAAATTTCCAGGTTCCTGGGAAGTCAAAATTTACTTAAGAGTTTTACTTGTAGTAAACAAAACAGATAAGAAAAGCTTTAATCTGTCATATACTTAGATAATATAGTTTGGTAAATCCACAGATTGTGGCAGCTTCATTTCATCTAGCTAAGCAATTTTACATTTATACCACGAGTTCATAAAACACGTTCACACAAGCCTATACTTGTTTGAACAGGCATAAAGCAAAATAATTGTGTGACAGTTAAATGTCGCTTCTATCCTAAATAGCATTGTTATTTTTCAAGAAACGTAACCCAACAATGCCTAAAACAGAGGACGATTATCTGAGTGGTCTCAAACTTGGCAGTTGCCGGTAAATACTTCCAAGTGTGTTGTGATGCATATCGGTCATCAAGGTACAGATACATACACGATGAATAACACTGAGCTACCTGTCGTCCAGACATTTAATGACTTAGCCAAGACTTAAAGACTACTGCACACTGCCGTGCAATAGCCGCCAAAGGTTTTAGAACGTTATGGTCAATACGTAGGGCTTTTGGTCATGTCGACGCTAGGACGTTTTTGACTTTGTATACAGTGTTCGTATGTCCTAAACTTGAGTACTGCATACAAGCGGCCAGCCCCTGTTTACAAAGACAGTGAGCTTCTAGAAAAGGTTCAGAGAACGGCAACTAAGCTGATTCCCGGAATAGCGAAGCTTCCGTATGAAGCTCGACTGGCCAAGCTGAACCTTTTCCCGTTGTCATATCGCAGAACTAGAGGCGACTTGATTACAGTTTTCAAATTGCTTAGTGCTACATTCGCACCTGAAATGCCCCGATTTTTCTTGTCTTCCAAAACAGAGAATTTACGAGGACACTCCAAAAAAGTTCACAAGCCAAGAACAAGTTACTTGTCAGCTGACTATCGACTTTCCCATCGAATCATCAACGAGTGGAACTCATTACCTCAGCACGTGGTTGAGACTCCATTCGTCGATTCTTTCAAAATAAAGTTGGATCAACTGAGGGACCACCATTTCCAGGACTAACACAGGCCATAAGGCCTCCTGTCCTTCCCAAACTGAAAGTAATCCTAAGATTATAATATCGCGTTGGTGTAGAGAGGCTTAGATTTATCGACAGCAATCTACTACATAACGATTTAGATAACACTATTTTATCTAATCACCATAGAGGTAATATAAAATTAAGGAAGTGTAAACTAAAACTGAGAAATACGTTCTACGATAAGCTTTACATGACAACATATCAGTTCAAGTAGCTTAATGTAGCGAAGCGAAATTGTGACAAAGGTCACAGACGAGAGGAAAAAAGGAATATACAATAAGATCAGGTTTATAGAAAGATAAACCACAGATGCATCTGGAATATTTTGATCAGTGTAAACTATTAATAATAAATTTATTTATTATTTGTTGAACTCAGGTTAAGATCCTTTCTCTAATACCTGGTCAGTGGACTAAACAACCAACTCGTAGAGATTAGACTAAATCCACCACTCAATGCCTTTGAGAAACTGTGCCATCATGTACTGTTGCCACGAATTACAGTGATTGCATAAAATGACCGTAACTCGGTAGATTATTACAAGCGTCTTTTGTATCCCCTAAAATCAGCAAGATTATGACTTGTGGACGAACCAATGTAAGCAAAGAGGCCAGTCTTGTACTTTGTCTTGAAATATACTCACCCATATAGTTAAAGAGCATTTTGGCATAATATCTGATATCAATTCGCGATGGAGAACTTACTTTAATTCGTAACCTTGAATGCTGACCGTAAGTACAAATCCAAATTCCCTATACTTATTTGTTACCTCCATTCGACTCTGGTGGGCAGGTAGGTTTTCTCAAAGTCACTACCATCGCCCACATATGTGGGCGAAAAGTAGACAATTCTGCGGATATTTAGGCGAAAATCCAATAATTTGGCGAATATTTAGGCGAAAATTCGACGATTCTGCGGATATTTAGGCGAAAATCCAATAATTTGGCGGATATTTAGGCAGAAATTCGACAACTCTGCGGATATTTATGCGAAAATCCAATAATTTGGCGGATATTTAGGCAGAAATTCGACAATTCTGCGGATATTTAGGCGAAAAGCTAGTAATTTATCGACCAAACGGCGAAAAAGGAATAAAACGCATTATTTTCCCCGAACAGGCGAAAAAGGAGACATTCTGGTGCGTTTCCCTTTTTATTCGCCTTTATTTCCCCTTTTTTGGTTGTCTGGGATGTTTTAAAAGGCAAGGTCGTCCATAGTTTTATTGTTTACCACGTGCGAGATATGAATCTTGTGGAAGTGTTAGGGTATTTATTAGCTGTTTTAGCTGTAGCAGCTTATTAAAAGCAGAATCCCCATAAAGATAAGCATGCTCCTAACTTTGGAACAAAATGGACCTATTTTGGTTGTATTCTCTCCACCTTTCAGCGTATACTAAATGAAAATACGCAACTCAAAACGTTTTGTTAGAAATCTAGCGCAAATCATGACTAAAAAAGCCTAACCACAAAATATAACAGACTTTCAGATACCTGTCACTGAAAGTAGGATTAAATATGTACTACATCGTTTACACTGATAAAACAGCCAAATGGCACATTGAAACAAACGTTAACTCAACAAAATAATTATTTTTAGGGTTTTACCGTCAGTATAAATTCGCCTTTAAATGTGTTATCGAACACATTTCGCTTCACAACATTCATCTTACGTTCTTCAAAATGACAGGATGTTCTGTTTATGTAAACGTTATAGGAATTTCAATTGACAAACGATTATTACTAGCTCAGTCACCTTGCCATAGTTCTTCGAAATTCGTTGTGAATTATAAAACTCTACAGCATTTTTGGTCTGGTTGAAATAAGTAAGGTAAGGTTATTTGTTTGTGCAACCATGATCAAAACCTTTACACCTCTTTACATCAGCTTGTATTGTAGATAGATTTTTAGGAGAGATTCCCCTTCCAGAGCACTTACGGTACACCACGCGAAAATTTTAGGCATTAGGACTAGTTTTGAGGTTTCAGAACCGATTTCGCACTTGTGTTTGCTGTTGCAGACTTGCATTGATCAATGCTTGGGATAGGTTTTGTAGTGTCTACTAATATATCACGCCAATTTGAATTACTCTCGCTTTTTTCGACATCGGTTAATTCATGCTTTTCGGGCTATTATCCACAAATGTTTTAGAAGTTCGTTTACTCTGACGAACATTGACAGATGCTAAGCGAAGCGCAGAAGGCTAGCGGGCGAAGCGTGCCTCCCTATTTAGAGCCAGGCGGAAAAATTAGTCAGCCTTCGGATGGATTGAGCACCCACACATACGCTAATGCAGAAGCAATCAAGGCTACAAAGAAGTAGCTGACTTTTAATATCCATATTATTATCATCAGGTTGAGTAGAAAGAATTATAACGCATTGTAGCGGTAAATAAATTTCCAAAATAAATAGCTCTGTAAGTTTTCAACATTGAATGCTGACCACATTGGTTTTAATGGACTCACCTAACTGAAGGCGCTCAGTCATGCATCCGCAGCAGATTACGAGTGGGAACGTCATGTTCAACATCTACTGCAATCGGTAGCCAGATTAGATCAAACAACCCCCAATATATTAATAGCTTATCAAATAAATCTTCGAACCCCCTCATTTCTCGCTTTTGATTTTACTTGATGAATGATTCACAGGAGACGATGTTACTGATTAAAGCGTTTTCAAACTCAGAAAAAGTGTGGTAACTTCAGCAAATTTCATTAATATCAACACATTCGATCGTTTGGAAAGAGAATCGCGACACCTTCAAGTGTTTTAAAGAAAAGCCGGCATCCAATGGTGTTAGTGTCTAACATCAACCAATCCACGAAATTGCGCGACCACCTTCCATTGTACTGAGGTAGATACCTGTCTCTACCCGACACGGATTAGCTTCACTGGTCACGACTTCTCACTAGAACTCCGAGAATTCCCTCACTAAGCTAGTCACTAGTGAGCACATGTTAATTATCTGTTTGCGGATGCCGGCTCAGTGGTCTAATGGTTAAGTGCTCAGGCGCGAAGCCAGTAGGTCCTGGGTTCGAATCCCGCGGGGTGCGGGATCGTGGATGCGCACTGCTGAGGAGTCCCATACTAGGACGAAACGGCCGTCCAGTGCTTCCAGGTTTCCAACGGTGGTCTAACATCAATTAATTCATGATCTCAACCAAAAACTTAACAATCTCCACAACCCCCATACTGAATATTGTTTTTAAACACATAAACATGGTTTCAATTTCCGTATAGCCGAGGTTTCAATAAACCTTAGTATACGTCCTTGAAAGCTTTTGTATAACATTACAAATGCTGACTTAGTGAGATGCTTAATGTCAACGTTATGACCAGTCTCAATCAAATGAAGGATGATTTCTGTTCATCCTGTGATTTTATTCGACTACTGGAATATATTTCGGTATGTGTTCACCCACCCTTAATTGCAAATCACGGCCGCTCCTCCGTATGTACGTGTTTCCGCACATACATGTAGATTGGTAGACACAATAGGTTGTGGTACAATCGCTTTTATGCTGTTTGGGCTTTTGGTGAAACAAAGAGCTTGTTTTTTCGATAATGACAGGTTGTGCTGCATAAAATGTCTGGTTGATCGCTAATTTAAGTCTCCGTTTCAATATGAGAATATTTGTATCGCCTCTGAATGGTAACGTGATGTAAACTAGCTTTTTCGGTGGCATAAGCACCATAGATCTAGTTGTATTGCAGCCCTTCCAGAGATTTTTGAACTTTAATGAATAACCATTATTCATTAACGTATCAGTCAAGAGCTTCGTCTCTACTTCAATAGTATCACTAGTACAAATATGATTAATTCTATTGAATATGTCTACGCAAGATACACAACATCCATTGACCGGGTACCATCAGCAGCAGTCTTCTGTGGGAGAGAACAAACCAACGTCCAGCTGAAGAAGAAATTAGGAAAAGATGATGGAAATGGATAGAACATACATTACGCAAATCATCAAACTGCATCACAAGTCAAGCTCTAACTTGGAATCCTGAAGGAAAACGGAAAAGAAGGAGGCCAAAGAACATATTATGTCGGGAAATAAAAGCAGATATGGAAAGGATGA